CAATAAATAAACGTGTATTAAAGTGGATATGGCATCTATTCTTGCCACGTGGGGTGAATGGGTTAACACATGCAACACTTTCATAACTAATTAAGTATTTTAGTATCAAATTTACCAAGTGAAACTTTCATTTCTATTGACTACACACATTTAGAAACTCAAAATGATCACAAATTAAATCATATCCAATATTTCATAGTTATGAATGACTATTTCAAGGGATGATGTGAGCAAAAATAAAACATCTACTTTTGAAAATAAAATCATTACTCACAAAATCCAAAACTATGAAAAAAAATCAACTCTTTGTATTTAGTCAAGCTTTTGGTAGATAACATCTACCATTTTTTAAAATAAGTAAGCTGTATTTACAAATACTAGATACATTTTCCATATATCTAAACAACAAATGCATATCAAAAAATGTCTTTGGGATGTTAACAAGTAGTTATAACATTTACTAAAGACTGTTTGCATTACACAATACAAGCCACCAAATGATGCTGTAGTTGAAGCTATGTACTACAAGTATCCTTCATATATACATACTGTTTATCTCATTCTACATATACATCAATGCTTCCACACCAATAATTAAATAAATGCATATGTCTAATGTACATAGATGATACAAACAGATTTCTGACATGTCATTGAATATGGGATGAAATTATTATATCATCACTGATAAATATCTATGAGAATGAAAAAAATTCAGAGAATCAATTTGTATATCATTAACAACTCAGAAAAATAAATCTGCAAATGGATATCTAATGAAAAATGCTAGCCCTGAGCTCAGCACCTGCAGAACAAGAAGTTTCATTGTAAGATTAGCTTCATGTTGAGGACCCAGTTTCAGCAAGACCAAGTTGACTAGTGTGAGGTTGTTGATTCGACACATTTCCTTGTCTTCACCAAGGCCCTCTTCAAGTCTCACCAAACCCAGCTTGTTTAGGAACCTCAATGCAAGAAGTAGTGGCTTTAAGATCTGACTTGCCTTGAACTCTGCAACACTTGGTTCGAGTTTGTCTTTTTGTGGGACATATCTGAAATGTAATGGTTGATTTGTGATGAAAGCTAAATTTAAAACTAATATTGACCTCACACAATGAAGACTGTTCACTTATAAAAGGTAAATTTCTATTTCAAAAAAAGTGATGTAACGTAGTATAACATAATCAACAAGATCAATAACCCTCATGAAATACAAAACTTACTTTGGGAGACGATGTCTTGGGCATGGCACAAGGTGGAAGAGCTGTGGTACTGAATAGAGAAAATTGAATATCTGTGGCAAGAAAAACAGCAACACAGTCTTACTGAAGTGGCCAATTATGGACACAACAGCAAAGGTCATTCCAGCAAAGTACGTAAACGTGTCTCCTACAAATGCCCGTGCTGGATATCTGAAAATGATAGATGTCGTTTAAGAAAACATTTTACTAAAAATAAGTATAAAATTAATCTCAAAAGAATTAGGTACTGTACTTGATGGCATATAAGATGCACAGGCATATTAGACACACCTCAATTTCAACAGTGCATATTCAGGAAAAGAAAAAAAGAAAAAAAAAAAAAAAAAAAGATATAAGACCCAGATGATTTGTTGAGCTTCAAGTATGGTACTTCCTATATGAGATGAAGACTATAAATTGTTCAATTTGGAAAGAAAATAAAAACACAAGAACAATAATGAATTTTAAGAACTACACACAGAATATTTGAATGTTTCTTTTCTATGAAAATACTCTTAGGCTAGATAAATAATATTATTTGAAGCAAAAATGCTTAGATATTACTAAGGAGAAAATTATAGTAATATTGCAAATTATTTGTTTTTACTTCATCTGAAAATAGGTAGTAAACAAGTGATATATAAATAAATAATAATCCTCCTAACCATGACTTGAACCTCTTGACACTTCAGGAAAAACTAGAGTCACCAGTACTAAATCAACTAGACCACATGACCCAACAAGAGGATCGAGCAACTATGATTATACTAACTCCATAGACATTACCTCTTGACTCAAACTAAAGTAGGGAGGTTTTATATATAATCCCCATGGGCTCACAGTGGAATTGATACAAAAGTTCAAATTCTAAGTCAGAATAATATAATGCAGAAATGTATTGATATAGATAAATAACAACCAAGTAGTAAATCAACTGGACCAAGTGTCCCAACACTAGTATTGAGCAAAAAGGATATACTAGCTCCACAGACATTCTCTATCTACTCATACTAAAAAATTAGAGCAAGGTTTTACACATAATTGCTGTTGGCACATGGTTCAAGGCAAAGGGTTCCAGTCTTGGTCAGTGACTGTTGTTATTAATCAATGTCAATTGGGTACTGCATTATCTCATCTTCCAGTGATCTATCTTTACCAAACATTAAAAGTGCCAGTTCCTGCTTAATGAAAAATAAAAGGGTATGCCTAGTACATGGGCAAAAATTACAATGCATAGTATAGGAAAAAATAAAAAATAAATAAAAGAAAAGCTAACTTGTTTGATTGACACTAAAAAGAAATGCAAAATAGGGGAAATATCTAACTGAATCTGAATGTGAAAAAGCACAAGCACAGCAATTTACAGAAACAGAAGAAAAATGTTTCACAATGATTTATATATTATGCCAATATAGTGTGCATATATTTCATAAATAAGAAATAAAACAAACATATATATATATACACACATATATATATATATATATATATATATATATATATATATATATATATATATATATATATATATATATATATATATATATATATATATATATATATATATATGCATGCAACATTCAAGAATGATAGCTAACTTACCGATTATGATAAAACAGGCCTAGTGCTGATGCTGTGAATGGAATGATGAGGCAAAGCGAGAAATAATGAAACTCGGCCTGGTACCCTCCTAACTCCACAATATTGAACACTATCACAGACCCAGCAATGACTACAGCCTGACCACACTCCAGCCCATTTATGCCAGCATAAATGTTGATGGCATTTGTACAAAACACTGCAAGCATGGACATGTACACATAGTACAGTGGGCCTGGAAATAGAAAAAATAGCTAATTTTACTACTTACATCAACAGAATATAATATTTACATCATATAAACATTGTACTAAGTGTCTGGAGACAAAAAATAATAATAATAATGAAATGAAAAAAATAAAACTAACATCTGCAGTAAGCAATATTTTCATGCATAATTTCATACTTGCATAAAAGCTGAATAAACATATTCAGTCCTGAGCATGTATATTTCTGTTATTTTAGGTGTATGTATGTCTTTTATTGTTAATGAACAACCCACTCCCTTCCTGACTAAAAGGCAATATTTACATGCAGATCATCATACTCACAGTATAGTTAAATAAACAAATTCAGACCTAGGGTTACATGAATGCCTTTTATCTCTATTTCACATGCACAGTGTTATAAATGCTAGCAGAAGACTAAATGTGTGAATATCTCCGAGAAGCCTTACAACAATGTCAGTAAAGAACCTAATGGTATTTTTCATGTAATATGTCAATAAAATTATACATCCTAATTTCTTTAAATCTCTTTATGATTTATGTATTGATTGATTATTTATTATATCATTTGAAGGTCTGAGAATAAAATATATCAAAATAAAATTGAAAATCAAAATCTACATCCAAGAGTAACTCTTAAAAATATGCCTAAGTGTAAGCTACAGTGAGTTTGTGCTACTGGTTGAGGACAAAGATAGGAGGGTGGGAGATTGTGGGAAATGCCCCAAGGCCCCACATCATGGATAGTGACCATACAGCAAAAGATCACCAGATCCTAATGGGCAGTGGGAATGAGCACTGATAATGTCATAAGCAAGAAACTCACAGGCTCAGACCTGGCAATAAACAATGGTATCAGATCTAGCATTTAATCTTACACACTTAGATGTGCCAACTAAAGGAAACTCTTTTTATATGTCCACGGCATTCCAGTCAGTTGTGGTCTGAACTTTATTTTACAGCTATATGGATGAATTCTCTACTTATGACATATTTATCTGTGCCTGCTTTGGATTGTGATTTGGTAACCAAGTTTGCCTGCCTGTGCCCTCCTTCCTGTGTACTGGGACTAATGTGCTGGATGCTCAACTGCTTACCAATGTTCAATGTTAATCCAATCCAAGTTCGCAATGGCTTTGGAACAACAACTGTTGTTGAACCAAGATTGATGTAGTAAACCATTAATAGAGGAAGTGAGGCTAAAGTGGGAAGTACTAATTTGAATCTGAAATCAGAAAATATTAAATTAAATACATTGACTATGGTATAGAGTTAAGCATAATTGAAATCACACACCCAGGAGAGGAATAACTTATAATTCCTATTATACCAATCAAAATTAAATAATCAATGCTATTTATTACCACTATTATCAAGAATCTCTAGGCTGGTTTCCATTATTAGATAAAGTCATTCACTCACCTCCACTTCAAGTTCAGGACATCATCGGCAAAGCCAAGAAACAGCATACAGCATATAGAGAGCAGAGATGTCAAGTACTCTGTAAATGTTGTATGCGGAAAGGGTGTCTCTGGGTTCATAAAATGCTGACCAAATGGTACTCCCAGGAACAGAAACATGATGATGAGGAAGACTAGACCACTAACCATACCCATTGACTCAGGCCTGTTGGATATCATAATTCATCAAACAGGGGAGAAAAAATCTTTGTGAATTAATGCTTCAATACTTACTGTTATTGTGTGCAAATTTGATTAAAATCAACAAGCATGCTAATTTTAGTAACTGTTCAGAATATGACTATGTAAAGATTGAGAAGACAAAGTAATGGACATAAAGGGAAGAATAAGCTGCTGTGAAAGCAAGGATGCAGTCACTTATCGATTTTTTCCAACCTATATTCATGCCACTAAGTCCAGCAATACTATGACCACTGTGATTCATGATTCACTCCAGCAAAGCAAGCAAACCTCCACCATATGAAGTTTAGTTCTACAGAACTTGTTGACTTCCCTAGTGATTTACACATAAACATGAATTTTATTGGCCATTGTCAGAGCACAAAGTTTGCAAGCCATTGATATGCTTCATGCTTTCTCATTCTGAACAATTACTCAAATCTGCATTAACGTTATTTCCATTTTCCTATCCATCTAATAGTAAAGAAATGAACTACTGTCAAAGCTTTCATAAAGTAAATGATGAAATTAACTTACACTTTCTTTTCTCGATCTTTCTTGCACAGATCTTTTCCAAACAAGCCAGCATTTATAAACATGGTGGCAACAGCAGGGATAGTTCTGATGACAGCACCTAGTCCCACCACTGACAGTATTAGATTGATGCATAATGACACAATCATCTCTGAAAATATAGAACTTAACAGTCAAGATATCTAAAAACTAATGAAAACAATGAGGACAAAGAATGATACAATATACATTTTATACCTAGATATTTCATATATATTGAATGTAATATGTGGATTTTTTTATGTTTGTTTCAGACAGCCATGCAACCCTATAATTATTCTGGTTTCAATTATTTACAGTATAATATTCATAAATTTATTGTTTTCTCATAGCATGAAAGAATTGACAATGGTTTACAAAGTGACTGCATTCCTGAGACTATTATTCCAGCCAACAATTTTGAGGGAACTCCTAGGAATCCACAAACATCCCAGCAAGAATCAAATTCCTTCTTACCCATGGCTTTGCCACATAGTTCTATTTTCCCATGGCCATGTAGTACAAGGTAAAATTTGTCTTTAACCCATTCGCCCCATGTGGCAAGAATAGATGCCATGCCCACTTTGATACACGTTTATTTATTGTATTTACACATAGATGGCTCCACAAGTTCTTAATCACCAAATAGTCAGTTAGCAAGAACTACCTATTTCAGCTGTTTACCCTTTTCCTTCACTTTAGTAAAAGTTTTTTTGTATCATTTCATTGTCTAAAATATTCTAATGACAATTTAATAATCATAACATCAATAACAATAATAACAGTATCGATAGCAACGGTATTAATTTTCCCACCAATTCAATGAATGGTAAAATCAGGGTCGGTAACTAGGGCCTAGTGATAGACTCCTTGCCGGCTGAGCACATGTGAAGACATCTGTATGTAACCAAATTTACCACAAACTACAGGGGACAGAACATAAATCCGGGGCGAATGGGTTAATGGACAGAATGACTGAAAAGAGGACTTTTCATCTGGTACTACCTTCGCAAGTTGATAATAAGAAAGTTGTGCAACAAGTTATATTTTGGTATACATATAAAGGAAAATGTAATGGCATTATAGTAATCAAAAGAGAAAAGCTACACTCACTAATACATGAAATAATGTATAAATAAATAATGTGCATAGGCAAAAACGGAAGAAAATGAGGTGCGACGATTGAATGGGTGAAGCCCCTGGGTTAGGAAGGTTTTGGTTCATGTAGTGATGTTTGAGGATTTCTCAAGTAATGGAGGAATGGAGATTTAATATCAATGGGGTAAGGCCACTTCATAAACATTACCAATACTTTCATTAAATCATTTGAGACAGAAAATAACACAAGCTCCTGGCATATTTCAGTATTGATAATTGAAAGACTGAATAAAAATGACAAGATTGGATGGCAGTATGAAACTAAAAAATTGCCGGCTTTGCTGCCAGACCCCCAACAAATTACCATGAACATAGTCTCTGCATGGTATTTGTTTTGGCCCATTTTCTTCCCTTCTTATATTATTCATTGACTGCACAGATTACTTAATGTACCAGTGAGAAGTTTTTTCCTAGTGTATGATGATGTCAGCAGATATTCCCTATCTTATAGCAGTCATCATGTAAATGTATACAAAAGTATTAGTGTTGCACTTCTTTGTTATCTTCAACTTGGGAAAGAAATGCCACAGATGAAATGTGTTCTAAATTTTATCATACCGGCCATAACACAAAGTTTGTCTTGTATCATATGACTGTGTGAAATTGAAACTATACCTAAAATGCTGCAAAAAATGCCAATTATATGGCCACTTCTTACTCTACTTCGAGAGATAACATTTGACATATGATAAATAAACTGCACTGGCTCTCGAAAAATGCGATTCACAAATATCTTAAATACAGTTACTTACGGATCAGACACACAAACAATTCAAGGGAATTCAAACAAACAGTTTATCTATGTAATTATACCCATTCAACCAAACCGCCTAAACTATGGAGAAAAAAAGAAAAATGACAATACCAAAGCCTGGTTTCAGCTGGTCAGCTCTGACGTCGACTCCAAATACACCCAATAGCGTCTCCGTTGCCATGACAACCACGTTCATCTTTCGCTTTTATCACTTGACTGCTAAAGTAAATCGTGGTCGCTTTCAACTTTACAATTCGTTAATCCAAAAAGATCCAAAAACATAAGTTAGTTTGGGCGCAAATAAGGGAGCCGTGGGGGGGAGGCCGGCATTCCCAGCTTTCGAGTTGTTTACAAAAGTATGCCTCCGGGCATGACTTGTAAACATCAGATTAATCTTAGAAGTTAAAGTGTATTTGTCCAAAAAAAGATACAAAAATTATGTCAAAGTATTTTTGAGATATAAATTATTATGACCGAACATAAAACCATGTGTTGTACATGTAAGATTTTCATATTTTTTTAGGCAATACCGGTATGTAAGATACACATTTTATATGAAATTCAATTATCAAAAGTGCATTAAAAAGGTACCAATTATTTTATAACCATGATAATCTTATACTTCCCAATATTTAAAACTCTTACAAGACTTATGTTTGCCCATGTGATTAAAAGTTCTTGCCTTTCTGTTGGTCAGATTCCGAAAACCCGCCAAAAAGAACGCTGCTGATTCGTCCATCTGGCTTACCTGCATCCTGATTGGTGGAGCTGCTCACGGGAGAGAAGCGGATTGGCTGGCGGTTGAAAATGCCAACAATACCGGATGAAGAACCGAAGGCAGGCCAGACAAGACCTCGAACCCGACGCGAAAGCACGCAAATTTCCTTAGTTTTTCTCATTTTTGACGTGATATTCAAAGATGTCTGGCCGTGGCAAGGGAGGTGAGTAAAGAAGAATGTAACAGAATATAGCTCAAGAGAGGGAAGCATAGATATTTGGCTCCTCAAAGGTTCGTTGGCGTTTTAATCGCGTTTACTGGACCGCGGAGATTCAAATTTCTCGCTGGAAATCTCTCTCTCGTAAGTGTTGCTAAGACGGGATTGGGGACCAGATGGGATTTTGTCGCGCGCATTCGCTTCCTTGGACGCTAGCAGTCAAGATGAAGGCCGGAATTGCTCTGTGAATCGACGTCCAGACCCTTTCTTGGGAGTTCGAGGAGCGTTTCTTCAAGAATGTGCGGATTCCTCCTCGCACCCGGAGATCAGCTTCGGCAAAGGAGACTTTGGGGAGGAATGCGGAATGCCGTTGCTCTTGAGGCGTTAATTCGGCCGAGCTCCGCGTTGGTAGGAGTCGGGAAATGCCTTGCTTTGTTTAGATGCCGAACATATGGAGTAGGGGATCGAGACCAACCTCATGAACTTTTGGCCAAGAATTCCTATTACTTTATTATCTCGTACAATTCGGCGATTTCACATTTGTATTTGCTCTCAGTATGTGTAGAAGCGTAGAATTGCAATTGCCTAGCATTATTCAATAGAAAGTAAATATGCAGTATTAAAAAAAAATCTTTGTTTACCATGTGCGGGGATGGAAGGAAAAATGCTGCATTGGGTGCCTAATATTAAGCCTCGGTGGGAAATTCTTGATTAAAATGCAGCTAGCAGTGATCTCTAAATTGTGGCCAAGACCAGCTTACCACCACATGGTCTTGCCAAAGCCTCAACTTGTTCCTATGTGGATGATAAATTGCCTGAAATCTCCACAAGCTCTCAACGTGCATTAATTACATAGTTTCGTATATTGCTGGCCCAAGCACAAAGCATAGAGACCGTGGCATTGTTTGCCAAAGATTGGTAGATTGTATAGGGTGATTGTGGCTAGGCTGATTTTTTATCTTTATTGCATTCTACTTGAAAACCATAACCTTAGTTTTCTCTGTTCAGCCTTTGTTTCCAGATCATCCCTTTAGTGTAACAAGAATCCTGAATGGTAGAAAAGTAAAATCGTATTTGGAAATTAAAGATGTTGCTTTTATTAGAGCAACATTTGAATCTGCAGGTACCCTTTTTGATTGCACCCTTATCCCTTATGCAAATGATTTTTAGTAGTGAATAATACTCAAGTTCATTTCTGTGTAAGTGCTCTTTTGGGCATTTACCTTAATTGCTTAGTCCTTTGTTCTTGTTTCCATTGTCTGTGTGATGCTTGTCAGTCAGTTACCTGTGCTTATTTGAATTCTTTCTACTTTAGGCCCTTTGGGTTTTGCATATATGTCTGTTCCCAACTTCCTTCCTGCCCAGATTTATTCAATACAGATAAAATACAAGACTGCTTTCATACCTTTTATAAAGTTGTCCTAATAGTAATACCCTATGATTGCCTTTCTTACCTGCAGGCAAGGTGAAGGGCAAGTCAAAGTCCAGGTCTAGCCGAGCTGGCCTTCAGTTCCCAGTTGGTAGGATCCATAGACTTCTCCGCAAGGGAAATTATGCGGAGCGCGTAGGAGCTGGTGCTCCAGTGTACCTGGCTGCAGTTATGGAGTACCTGGCTGCTGAGGTTTTGGAGTTGGCTGGTAAGAGCATATTTTCTAATGTTCATTGCAACAAATGTAGAAAAGGTGTGAATGAGATACTACTAATAATATTCTGATTTTTTTTTATTATATATTCAGAGATATTTTTGATAAAGATATAATGGGAAAACATCAGTCTTCCTTGAATGAAGATAGCAATTTTCATTCATTCCTTTTTCTGCATATTTTCCTCATTGAATTTGTTGACATCTTAAGGGCATGTCATTATCTTGTGCATGAGTACAATGGACAAAATGTATAGTAGAAATGGTATAAGACATGGTTTGAATTTTACTGGTATATCTTCATAAAGTTTGGTAAGATAACTTAAATAATCTGCATACTATTCAAAATCTTCTTTGCATACATTTTGTGTGTGTGTGTGTGTGGTAGATTTATTTTGTTGCATAAATTAATGTTGACCCCTGCACACTGGTAAATAATTTGTTAGCCTTTATTAGAGTGCAAAGCTTAACCCATTCGCCACACGTGGCAAGAATAGATGCCATACCCACTTTGATACACATTTATTTATTGTATTTACACATAGATGGCTCCACAAGTTCTTAATCACCAAATAGCCAGTTATCTAGAACTACCTATTTCACCTGTTTACCCTTTTCCTTCACTTTAGGATTTTTCTATCATTTCATTGTCTAAAATATTCTAATGACAATTTAATAATCATAGCATCAATAACAATAATAACAGTATCAATAGCAATGGTATTAATTTCCCCACCAATTCAATGAATGGGAAAATCAGGATCGGTAACTAGGGCCTAGTGATAGACTCCTTGCTGGCTGAGCACATGCGGAGCCATCTGTATGTAACAAAATTCACCAAAAACGACAGGGGAGAGAACATAAATCCGGGGCGAATGGGTTAATTGCTAGTTTCCCTGGCCTTTGACAGGTGATTAGATCTTGCCCTTATTTTCTACAGGTTGTTTTTTAAACCAGTGTTTGTTCTATATGGTTCACTACTGTACATTGTCATTTTCACTTGGACCTTTTCTATATCAACATAAAAAAAAAAAGTAGGTGCTATTGAAAATTGCCCTATATAAAAATGCAAATTTCAGGAAATGCTGCCCGAGACAACAAGAAAACTCGTATCATCCCACGTCATCTCCAGTTAGCCATTCGCAATGATGAGGAACTCAACAAACTACTCTCTGGAGTAACCATTGCTCAGGTGTGTGTGTGTGTGTGTGTGTGTATATATATATATATATAATATAATATAATATAAACTACATATTACTACTACTTAAGTTGTTATAGGGAAATTACCTGTAATAAAATGACGATTCTATTATCCTTAAATTATGGTGTGAAGATCCTGTTATGAAAGCCTAACATGGATTTTTTCACTCAATCTCAGAAAAATCTCATTATTGGCAGTTTAATTTCTTCAAACTGTCCAGTTTTCTATTGTTTAGCATCCTTGTTGATAAGCATAAGCACTTTATTTTCCCCTGTCTTCATAATGTTGGCCTAACATAAAAGTATATATATATATATATAATAATATAAACTACATATTACTACTACTTAAGTTGTTATAGGGAAATTACCTGTAATAAAATGACATTCTATTATCCTTAAATTATGGTTGAAGATCTGTTATGAAAGCCTAACATGATTTTTTTCACATTTCTTATGGCTTCATTGTTATAATGTATATAATCTCTTTACCACAGGGTGGAGTCCTACCCAATATCCAGGCTGTGCTCTTACCAAAGAAGACAGAAACAAAGATGGGAAAGATGAAGAGCCAGTCTCAGGAGTATTAGGCAGCATGAAGCATCCATCTCAGAAAAATCTCATTATTGGCAGTTTAATTTCTTCAAACTGTCCAGTTTTCTATTGTTTAGCATCCTTGTTGATAAGCATAAGCACTTTATTTTCCCCTGTCTTCATAATGTTGGCCTAACATAAAAAGGAAAACTACTATTAAAGGATATGAACACCTTATCAGTACTTTATGGTTGTGCTTTTCATTCATCCTTTCATTTGTAGTGGTATGCTTGCAATGCTGAACTTTTTGTTGTAATGATCTGGCGGCATTTTTCAAATGTTTTCAAACTTTTATCAGTTCTTTCCAAAGCTCTGTCAATGAGAAACAAGATTTTGCTGTTGTGTACATTACAGTTAAGAAAACTTAACAATAATTAGACATGGCAAAGGTAGTTCTGATTAAGGTGGTTCCATTTTTTGTTAAAAACATGTCATTCCTATTTCAAGAAGTACAAGCTTTTAGTTTAAGGATGTCACAAATGTGATTGTATTTTACTGCCAGACTTGTCAGGTTTTATGCTTTTGTATTAAATATGTATCTTAAAGCTTGTTTTCTCAACCCTTTTTAGTGTTAGTTTTGAATGTCAGATGCTGCATTCATTTGAGAAAGTCAAGATGTGACCTACATCTATTCAATATGCCTGCATGTAATCAATCATTTGTTAGGCATACAAGTTTGCTCACTTGATATGGAGTTTACACTTGATCTTAGCCAGTGTGTATAATTGATGCAGTGTATGCCATATTAATAAATACAACTAATTACTTCCTTTTGCTGTCATTGTATAACCTCAAGTTAATAAAAAAAAAAATAGTTGTTGGAAGTTATACTACAGACTGATACTGACCATTGCATATATCTAGTAAGTAACTTGAATTACTGTTGTTAAAAATTATCTTCATCCATGCATCTTACTGATAGGTGAATCAAACCCCCTCCCCAAACCCTAGCTCATGT